TGCACTTGATAAATGTCAAGCAATAGATTTGACTTGTAATTATTTTCAATTACAAGATCAATCACTTTTTCAACGACGATTTTATTCACATGTCATGCCTCGTATTTTCAATAATATTCAATCATTGACACTCTATATTCAACATCTTCCGGATATTGTCAGTTTTGCTGAAAAAAATTCTGATAGAATTTTTCCAAATTTGACACATTTGAAAATAATGGTTTTTAAGCGAAATCCTAAAACATCGACATCATATATACTAGGTAAATTATTCTTAAATATATTTTTTCAAAGATCTTACGTACTATTTATGTTAATTTTCTATTTAACAAATATGTGAGATTTTATGAATTAACTAATTTGAAAATGTCTTATTTGCATTTTGTGCTAAAGAAGTTTATGCGTTACTTTTCTACAGAGAACTTTTACACATTTTAAAGAAATTATTGGAAAATCTATCACATCATTTTACTTCTATTTTGAAATATCACTGATTCTCCTAGAAAAATACTAGTTAAAAAAAAATATATAGAAAAGTCTTTTTAATTCAATATTATCAGAAAAAACAAAAGATCCCAAGTGATTCTCGCTCGGTCGGATCCCGTCGGATTCAAATAATTGCGTCTGTATCCTGTCGGATTTTTGTCGGAATCCCATGGGCCGGATTCCGTCTGTCGGATCTGATCGGACACGTGCAAAACCCGATAGGATTCTGTCGGATTTCGTCAGTTTTTATCGGATTCCGACGAAATCCTGACCGGAATCCTGTGCAAGGATTGCTTGTCTTGGGATTACATTGAAAAAATATTAGATTATATCATATACACATATATATTTTAGGTTATGGTATTTACAGTATTTTTCGTCATTACCCTCTTGTCTCAACTGTACGTAATTTAATTCGATTAACTGGGTCTTCTAGTGGTAAAATCTTATCTAGGTTTTGTTCTTCGACACTAATACCTTCTATTATATCATTTGAACTTGATCATGACTGTGTTTTACCACATGTATCGAATGATTACTATTTATTCTTTCCTCAATCAATTCAACTGTCACATATCCAAATAACATTATGTTATGTTGATGATTGCATTTGTTTACTAAAACAATTGGGTCCACAACTCTTTTCATTGATTGTGAGCATTGTATATGTTGATAGTACAACAACTTATATTATATCTAAAATATCATTAGTAAGTTATATTTCTTAATTTTAAATTTCATTCAATTTATTTATTTAGATTTTATGTCCAAACTTAAAACAGTTGACAATGAAAATCTATCGTAATTTTGATGATTATAAAAAATGTATTGTACCTCTTCTACAACGTTTATCAAATGTTGAATATTTAACATTATTATTAGCTATTGGTGAAACAGGTGATACGCCTAATCATTTTATTGATGGATATGATTTAGAGAATGATATTATTTCATACATGCCTCATTTATATCAATTTAATTTTCACATTCGTTCCATATTACAGAACGCTCCACATATTGAACTTGACACAATTCGTCAAAGTTTTTTTCGACAACAACAACAGTCTGTTGATTGTACAATCGACTATTTCAATAATAACTATGGTCAATGTCAAATATATTCACTTCCATTTATTGGTACGCGTCTTGAATTTATTTCCAATCGATTTCCACTCTTTGATACCACTAACACATTCTGCATGGTTACTATGCTATTACTTTTCGATGATATCAAACCATTCGAAAGTGTTTTCTTTGAACGTATAGCTCGAGCTTTACCTCATCTCAAAATACTTGAAGTATTTAATAAACTTGAACAACAAAAGAAGATAACAGCAACAACAAACAATCTTAAGTTTACTCATTTAACTACACTGATTCTATTTGATATTCATATGGACTATGCTCAACAATTACTTTGTCGAACTTGTCTTCCTTGTTTAAACGAACTTGCTATTCGTAATGATATACTGTTAGCAATAATCGCTCAAAATCAACATCAAACAATAGATAATTGTTCTAGAGTAGAACAATTACGAACCTCTGAACCATTATATGATTCACTAAATGTTCTTCGAAATTATTTTCCACCAGATTCTTATGTAAAACATGAGAAAGAAACACAAACAACATAAATTAATTCTATAAAATTATAATTAACTATTTCTCTTGGCAAAGTTTTGTTTTTGAATAGTCAATATAATAGAAATATTGTGGAAATCTATTTTGATTCAAATATAATACTAAAGAAAAATTCATATCTCATTTTATTCATTAATAAATGAAATATATCTTCAGACTTTTATTTCTTTTTGAATAGATGACATAATTAACAAAAGAAAAACATAAAAATCTTTTGTTTTACCAAAAAAAAAAGTTAATATATTTCGTTATTTTTCAACTGAATGAATAAATTCATAATATGCTTGTGAAATGCGTTCCATTAATTTAATTTCAGGTGCAACCATACCTTGAAAAGTTTGTCGGTCAATCATCATACATGTAACCTAATATCTGGCTTTCACTGCTACATGAGACGGAATATTAAAAAAGATTGGTAATGCACCGAAATAATCACCTTCACCTAATATTTCTAATACAACTTCTTGATCTGGTGATGATTTTTTCGAGACCACAACCTGCCCTAAAATAAAAGGATTTGTTTTAATGAAGAAAAAAAAAGAATGTTTTATTTTCTATTACTTATCGCTAGTAATTATGAAAAAGAAATTGACTTGTTCTTCTTGTGTAATTATATATCGATCAGAATTGAACGTAATTTGACGAAATCCATAGGATCGTCGATTTGGGCTGAACTAAGAACGATTTCAGTTCAAGACAAAGCGAGTTTTTAAGAAGATTGTATCATAACTTGTTGTGATAATTTGACATTTGTTCTGACTGTGGTGTGGACGAATCGAACTGTGTTCGTCAAGAGAAGACGCTCATTAATATCTATATTTCTGAGCCGTCTTTTTTAGAACATCATTTTTTTGTATTTATGATTTTTGTCTATAAATGCTTTTGCACCCCAATCAGTGATCTCCATTTAATGTTCGATTCTATTTTACTATCATAATTATATAGTCTGTTCAAAATCAAAAACAGCTGATGACATTAATAGTAACAATTATGTCTGACGAACTCAATAAATTGCAGTCAATTAAGAATAAAAAAAAGCATTACTATATTTTAGCGCACTCTACAAATTACAGCTCATTAAATTGAAATAATGAAACTCAATCTTTAGCGAACTCTATAAATTTCAACAAGTTTAAAAATATAATTGAAATTTTAATTTGTTTTAAAATTGTTATCAGTAAATATTTTTGAAATTTGAAAATCGAAAATTTAAGACCTAAGATTATTTTAAATTTGAATAAATTAAATTTAAAAAACAACTGAAATTTAATTTAAGAGATTTTCAATTTCGATTTTATGTTCGCAAATGAGAGGACACGGGCTACAACATATCCAAAATTCAATCTGGGACCTTGTAACGTGAAGTGCCAATAGCGTCACCAAGCACGCAAAGGCATATGAACAAAATGAAAAAATAATGATATTTTCTATATTTCAATGATTGTTGAACAGGCTACTCTTTGCAAATAGAAATACCTTCTATAGGGTTTTGTAGATCGAATTATGCTCTATCTTTTGGTATAAGATAGTGATTGCTTCGATGAAGTTTTTATGTTGAAATGTTTGACGAATGAGAAACAATTTTGTTTCGCAAAATGAATCATTTTTCCAAACATCGATTGTTACTGGAAAAAAGTCGATATACCAAATCTCCTTAACACATCATCCCAAAGACTTAAAAATTTGTTCTTAGATCTAACTTTTTACGCTCTTTCGCCCTGGCTAATCAGTTTCAAGATGTAAAATTTTTCGGCACCCGACTATGTCTTTCTTGGGTAGTGGTTTCGTTGGATTCTCTCTTAAAAGCGTTCACTATACACAAGTAGTCAGTTTAAAAAGTTGATGCATGGTTTGCTGTGAAATGAAGAAACTGTTTAAGAATATCTACTTTCAGACTACATCTTGTTAAAAAACTGGTCATCGATGCTTGTTTTTTTGCTCGTCTGTTTTCATCTAAATAATTTAAATTGAAAGGTTTTTCAACTATGATACAAAATTTTCCTTTTTTTGTAAAACCCTCTGAGATTATTTAGTTATCTGCTTTTGAAATAATATCGATGTCAAAGGAGAGTATCATTGAAGAACAAAATTACTTGGTAATTTGAGTTATATTCTACTAAATAATGACGAATTAACACTATTACATGTTTCACAATCAAAAATATAATATTGTTTCCCAGATCTGAATGTACAATTTGTTAACTTTCACTTATATTACTGATACTTTGAAAACAACAATCACAGTAAAACATCGAATTATTCTTATCCCTACTTATCTTCTGAATTAAACGATCATAAACTATCCTTTAAAAATAGTATCATCATTTCATTCATTTTCAATAGTTTCTTGCTACGATGCATACATATCGATTTTTGAGCAATAATAATAACTAACGTGTAAATTCTTATCACGCAATAATTTTAAGAAGGATAAAGAACAACATGCATGCCTTACAGCAAATTTTCTATATTTAAATGAATTACCATGAGGTATGTTATTAAGCGAATATCTTCATGTATTTACTCATTGTGTCATAACTACCAAAAAGAAAACAAAAGAAAATATACAAAAAAAAGTGAAAGAAGCAGATGAAGATTAGTTAATACATGCAAAGACTAAAAAATTATTCAACAAAGAAAATTTTAAACGATAAAAAATTGTGTAATACAGAAAACACTATGACCTTTATTTCTTGTCTCTTTATTTTGGTATATACATTTATGAACTCTCATAGAATAGGAAAAAATATGCTTTTTTTTCCTGTTATTAGTTAGCATGAAACACATAATCTGTAAGTATCACATATTCTAATAGGACAAATAACAACTACTACTTGCAGAAAGACAAAAAAAGAAAATTCAATAAATAAATTATGGAAATCGAAGTTGGAAATGTGCGTCCTTTTAGTGTTAAATCTTATTTGGATGATGTCTATGATAGACAAAGTCATAGTGGACAGCATGAAAGTCTTCGACATCGGTAAGTTCATAGATCTTTCTCAGTTTATTACATTGAAAAAAAATGATTTTCTAAAAGTAAAATATTTTATCACCAACATTCTTCAGTATCTATGATCGTAATAAAGTGGTACATAGCTTATTTACTTATGAATATGAAATTCTCAAAACATGATTGAGACCCAATAATAACATTTCAAACTATATTTGCGTTGATAAATACAATTTTTAGAATAGAAATTATCATCAGCAGAGTTTAATGATTCGTTTATCGATAATATTTTTATTAATTCTTTTTTTTCCTAATCATTATTGATTTAGATATTTAATTTCTTCTCGTCGTTCAAAATTTTTCAACTATTGGTGGAAGTTACCCCTTTGGTTTGGTTCATTTTTTATTCTTTTTGGTATCTCTCTGCTTCTAATTGGTTTTTTACTTCCACGAAAAAAAATCGATATTAATTCTCAATCTATTATCATTGATCGACAAGCAATTGCTTATAATACAAATTTAGATAGAAGTCATTTATGTGGAATATGTTTTGTTGTAGCTGGTAGTGCTTTATTTTTCCTATCACTTATCATATCTACGTTTCGCAATAGATGTTGTGCTGCTAGTAGAGATTCAAATGATGAAATAGATTCATGAAAGGTATAAACAAACGGATTTTTGTTTGTAAAAATGAATTTTTCTTTTTTTTTTTGTTGTCATATAGTTGAGAATGGAAGTATCAAGTGAAGACTTTACAAAGTATATCATAACCAATTCAACCAAATTCTTACAAAAAATAAATCAAGATTAGCAATAGAAAAAATCATGCCTAGAGCGTCATCTTAATTATTGTGTAAATTTTGTGAAAAAAAAAATAATTATCTATTCGCTTTAATTGTATATAGTATTTATCATTATTGTGATTAGTTCAAAATTAATTAAAGACTTATTCAAATATCTTATGAGGGAACGTTCCCAAGTGATTAAAAGCTTTTGAGCTCATATGTTGCCCATTAGGTAGGGAACCACTAGATTAGAGAAACCTCCAAAGGATTCGTGCCCATATTGAGATTTGACAGAGATATCGAATTTTTAGTGGATTTTTCCTGCTGGACCCTAGTTCTACAGCAAAATCATATTTTCGAATTTCGACCTGAAACTTTGCCCAAATGAAGGCTTCGATTAGAGCAGCTTATATAGAAAATTTCAGAATTTTTGGACATTGCATTTCCAAGGTATCAATTTTTGAATATATAGGCACTTTTCTATATATAACATGGATACTTTGAAAGATTGATACCTTGGAGATGCAATGTCCAAAAATTCTGAAATTTTTTATACAAGCTACTCTGATCGAGGCCTTCATTTGGGCAAAGTTTCAGGTCGAAATTCGAAAATATGATTTTGCTGTAGAACTAGGGTCCAGCAGGAAAAATCCACTAAAAATTCGATATCTCTGTCAAATCTCAATATGGGCACGAATCCTTTGGAGGTTTCTCTAATCTAGTGGTCCTCTACCTAATGGGTAACATATGAGCTCAAAAGCTTTTAATCACTTGGGAACGTTCCCTCGTTAGTATAGTATTTAATCTTCATATAATTTATATTTTATTGTAATCTATAGTTTTTTTTTTCAATTCATATTTTCATGATTGACATAAAATGAAAAAGTTTGTCTGCATCGAATTTAACCAAGCTGGTCTTAACAATTATCTATAAATCATATGCTTGGTAGTTTTTCATTGATATATACAATCAAAGTTTCTGGATAAATTTATAAAAGTTTTGCTTGGAAGTATCTTCAAAAGATTTGCATGCAATTTTGTTTTTTAATGAATATTTGAAACAAAATGGTTTTGTACACTATCAAAACGTAAAGAAATATAGTTCATCAAATTAACTAATGTCAGCGGCAGGTGTAACCCACGAAAAAATTTTTCAAGAAAAAACCGCGAAAGTCAGGCCTTTTATACGGTTTTTGAAACCGGCAAAAATCACGGTTTGCAAATACCGCGGTGAGAACCGAGAAAATTGCGGTCCGAGCTGAGTTTTTGCAGGTCTAACCGCGGTTTTCTTGGTTCTCATCGCGGTATTTGCAAACCGCGGTTTTCGCCGGTTTCCAAAAACCGCATAAAAGGTCTGACTTTCGCGGTTTTTTTCGGAAGAATTTTTCCGTGGGAAGTTCAATAACTCGACTATGATAACAAGTATTAACCTATAGTTTTCAGCAATCGAAAGAGCAAAACTTCGAAAGTCTTCTCGTTTCATATTAGATAAGACAAAATTATTTTAAAATTCATCATCTTTCTCAAAATTTTAAAACCAATACATCGAAGCAATGTTCTATGTCAAGGAAATTTCGATTTCAAGATGTACTTCAAATAGAAAGACTTTGAATCTAGAGTTAAACGCCCAATTCAGAGGATTAACTTCTTGCATATCAATGTTAAGAAAATATAATCACGTATTCATCATTGTATCAAGTTATATAGAATGCTATTGGTTTTTAGTCCATTTTTGTAACTTTTTATCGAAATTTTTGCAAAAATAATGAATTTTTAAATAATTTTCTTTTACACAGTATCAGACATTCAGAGCTCTACTCTTTGAATTCCTGAAGAATGTACATCAATAGTTGTTGCTGTTGTCGAGTTATTTAGCATATATCAACCCGCGTTTAATTTTGGCGCAGACATTAATAAAAAAAACAACAATAATTGATTACTCATCGTTATATTTAAAGAAAATCTTAGAAACTAATATTCAGAAAAGAAAACAGCATATAAAAGCTGTAGGCAAAATTGAGATTCAGGTCAATTTTTAATTTGTCTAGGCAAAATTGGAATTTTAGTTTTGCCTAGGCAAATAAAAAAATTGACCTGAATCTCAATTTTGTCTACAACATATATATATACACTTCTGTTTGAGACAGCGGATACTCAAAACGCTATATAAGATATCACTCATGGCAACAAATAGATCAAATTTTATTGGTAGAAGATATTCCATTGAATTTTTATTTTGACCTCTCTACAGCGACAACAGACATGTCAAATTTTTCAAATTAAACAAATTAGATTTTCTAAATATATATTTTCTGAAAAAGAAGTTTTCCGATAAAATTAACTTTATTATCGAATCCATATTTTACCTTGATCTCATATGTTTGCTTCCTACCGTCCACAAACTACTAAATTTACGTCGGCGACACTTTAGATATTCTTCCTTTTCTATTTTATACGCCTTCGTCAGTTTGTTTGCATCATTCGTGTTGTTACTGACTCATTTTGTTAATTCTTGTTTAGATGATGAATTGAAACATGTTTTTTTTTACGTTATTGAAAAAACTCATTTCTTTTGGAATTGAACTTGCACTTGAAATTGAAATAATCTTTTTTTTTTAAATTCGTTTTGTAGATTTATATATAATAATTCATCATGCCTGACAGTAAATTATATGACCTACTTGGTGTTTCACGTAATGCAAGTGATCAAGAAATAAAAAAGGTTTGTTAATTAACAAAAACTACAAAGAACTTTTATATTAATTTATTTTTTCTTAAGGCATATCATAAACTTGCTAAAACTCATCATCCAGATAAAAATCCTGAATCAGCTGAAAAATTTAAAGAAATTTCATTTGCTTATCAAGTTTTAACCGATGAAAGTAAAAGACAGATTTATGAGTAAGAAATTTATTTATAATAGTTCATAATAACTCTTTTTTTTTATTTAAATAGTATGTATGGTCTCGAAGGTCTTAAAGAAGGTGGTGCTGGTGGTGGTGGTGGAGGTTAGTATTATAATATAATCAAATTTATATACTCAATGACACCTAGATGAATTTAGATTCATACTTAGATCTAATGTTTCATATCGTTTATATAATTTGTATTTATAGTTTATGAAAATTCGATTTACATATATCTATATTCAAATGTAGCTTCGTAAAATTTGAACTCAAGTAATACTCGAGATATTAAGTTTACAGTTGATAGCAATAGTTTTCAATAGAATAGATATCATTTCGATATAATAAATAATTAAAATTATGAATTAAATATAAACAAGATTATCAACAATAGAAAGTATTTTCTCGTGTTAAAAAGTTAAAATTTTTTTTGAAAGTCTTATAATTAATAGTTTTAATAGAAAATCGATGGTTTTTCCCGCCAAGATTATGTCTAGAAAGAAATTTTTTGTTTATTTCTCAGCAAAATTTTTTGTATTAAATTGAATAAATGTATAATATTCAATGAACAATTAATTTTTTGAACATTATTGAAATATTTTGTTTAATCTTTTATTAAAATAAAAAATATAAAATGAATTTTTTTATTTAGGTAGTATGGCTGATATTCTTGGCCAATTTTTTGGTCATAACGATCCATTTGAAGGTTTTGGTGGATTCGGTGGTCTTTTTGGTGGTTCTATGGGTGGAAGAGGTCGTAATCGACGACGTAAAGGTGATGATGTCGCTCATCCACTTAAGTAAATATTTATATTTATTTATTTTAATTTAATTTTAATAAATTAAATTAGAGTTACACTTGAACAACTATACAAAGGAGAAACACGTACACTTGAAATATCTCGTAGAATTATTTGTAAAGCATGTAATGGGTAAGAAAATAAAAATAGTAATCAATCTTTTTTTTTACACCCTAAATCATTCTATAGTAATGGTGGACGTGAAGGTGCCAAACAATCATGTTCAGGATGTCGTGGTCAAGGTATTCAATTTATAACACGACAAATAGGTCCAGGTATGATTCAACGAATGCAACAAGTTTGCAAAGAATGTAATGGAGAAGGTGAAATAATCAATGAACGTGATCGTTGTAAAACATGTAATGGAAGAAAAACAGTTGAGGAAAAGAAAAAACTTGATATCGTTATATCACCTGGTAACAAAAACAAAAAGAAATAAGAAATTATTTTTTTTGTTAAATGTAAATATTTAATTTAGGTAGTAAACATGAACAACAACTTCGTTTTCCAGGTGAAAGTGATCAAGCACCAAATATGGAACCTGGAGATGTTATTATTGTTTTACAACAAGAACCACATGCATTATTTGAACGTAGTGGAGATAATCTTATTATGAAACATAAAATAAAATTAATTGAATCATTATGTGGATTTCAAATAGTTGTTACACATTTAGATGGAAGAAAAATTGTTATTCAACATCCACCAAATGATCCAATAGCACCAGGTAGATTGTTTTTGATCAATTAAAACAAGTTTTTCTAAATTTAATTTTCTTTTTTTAGACACATATCGATGTGTAAAAGGACAAGGTATGATAAATATGAGAACACATGATACTGGAGATTTAATTATTCAATTTGATGTTGAATTTCCATCAGAAAAATCCCTTACGGAAGTACAATTAAAGGTTAATTTAAAATTTATTCTATGATTTCTGATTTTGATATTTTTTTGTTCTAGCAACTTGAATCAATTTTACCAAAACGACCACATGTTGATATTCCTCAAGGTGAACATGTAGAAGAAGTATCTATGATTGATTTTCATACAACTAAATCAGCACATGATAGTAAACATGGACAACGACGTGAAGCATATGATGGTGGTGATTCAGATGATGAGAGTGGACATCCTGGTGTTCAGACATGTAGATCTCAATAGAAATCTAAAACTTAATTATCTTTTGTTCAATTAGAAACGATCGAACAAAAACATTGATTTCAAATTGAACTTTCGTTTTTTTTTTCTTTTTCCTTATTTAATGGAATATTTTGCAGTTGATCCTATGTCTATGATGATGATGATGTTCTCAGTTTCGTTGAATAAAAGAAATCTACAGATGACATATCCAATAATTCATTTTGGAAGAGAAAAAAAAATAAAGATTAGCTTTTATTGTTATATATCATGCCGGTAGATTTGTTTGAGTAAGCATGATGTGATGCTATAAACTTATACAGAATTACAGTACTTTACACATGTAAAGCTCTGAGATTTAAACAATCTCATTAATTACTAATAATAGTTCGGATTTGTTATAATGATAACAATAATATGCGAAACATTTTTAATATTTTATTTAAAATAAACGGTCTATTAAATATTACTTAAAAAAAATTTAAAAACAACAGCCGCCTTCTCACATTGAAACAACTAACACATGATTGAGTGTTTTATCTGCAATTATAATCGTTATATGAATACTTGAATCAATTATCTATATTTTTTGAAGTCGAGATTATAATTATTGAGATCTGTCAACTACTTTAGAAATTCGGAATGCAACACGAATTGGGTTTAAAAATGAAAAAAAAGAATACATATTTTATGTGTCACTTGAGACCTCGAGCGAACAGATATGGTCTTCCGTTTAGCAGTAGTATGAAACATGAATTCAATTAAAATTTCAAATTTCAAGTTTAACATGTGTGACCATGTCGCGACACTGATATGAAAGGTCAGTTATGCGAAGAAAATTGCTTACGCTCTTGATAAATACTCGTAGGATTATTGAATAGTTCAATTCAACTTTCATGTTGTCCTATGGTTCATCGCATCCACACAAGAAATTGAAAATCTGAAAAACTTGAAATTTTCATTTCTCAAATCAATACTTGAAACAAAATCATGGTTAATCGTTCTTAAAGTTTATAATATTTTATGGAGAGAAAATTCAAAGAGCTGTTAATATGGTAAACTATGATCTTGAAAAATTTGCTTATCAAGTTATTGAATAAGATACAATGAACCATCCACAGGCAAAGTATAAATAATATTATTCATAATATATAGATTTCTTATACAGGAAATGCATATTTTAATGAAACTCTTGCAATCTGATGATGAAAAAGCTCTTGATTTATGTGACGAACCACTCATTGCTGGTGCTTTTATAGAAACATTCGAAATAGAAATCAATGTTTATGAAAATTAGTAATTGAATATAGCTTGCACCAATTATACAATTAAATATCTTGAGAGATAGAATTAAACTAAACAAATAACTTTATCTGGTTGACCTATTGATGAACTTATTTGTGTATTACCTGCGTGTTTTCATGAATATCGAATTAGTGCTGGATATACTGATATTGCTAATTTACTTCAATTAAGTTGTGTAATTCTTTTTGTTATTCGAGTTGACTTACAAATAGATCAACTAACTAATGCATATCGTAATATTGAAAATACGAAGTGAATTAGATAAAATAACTAGAGAAAACTGTAAAAGTTCGCAAGTTTTTGAAAATTGTTTGTAGTTTTACAAGTTTATTTGCACGAGATTAGAAGAAGAAAAAGCAATTGATATGGCTAAGATTTTAGAAAAAGCGCTTAAATTATATCAACAAAATGAAAAGTTTTATTTATGTTCAAGTTATTTCGTATAGACTTAAAATCAATATTTACACTATAATGACTCAAAACATGTTGGACTTTGACATTTAAGTATGATTTAATAATATGAATCCGAATGTTGTATCAATATTTTTGCTTGTGCTGTTATTTTTTTTTTTTGATTATTAAAAATTCAATAAACATTTGAAATTGCAGTTATCGATGGCTCATTATCAACATAGATTGAATAAGATTGATATCGTTAAGTAAATTGTGTTTTAATAATTAATGCCACATGATTAAGAGGATATAGATGGAAAACGAGACTTCGAAGTATGAAAGCAGCAGATAAAAATGATTAGATGAACGTGTGTGAGAATAAGAATATTCATCTACTTTCATTCGTGTTCTCACCTTATACCCCCTCATTTACTGTAAGAAATGAAAAAACACTCACGATTAGTTTTTACAAAGTATGTGTGCCTCGCTCAAGATATATGTCGCTGTATATAACACGACAACATACGACCATAATATTGTCCTAGGCAAACAGATGTTCTAGAGCCGGTGTTCAATGGTAGGTTTTATCGCTGACGACCACTTGCAGTATCGTAAACATCAATATACAGTATTTTATCCCTTTTATTGAAAAGGAAAGCAAAAATGCTAATAGCATTGATTCTTTCTCTAAATGCAACAGAAAAAATGAAAGTGAGACTTCTAATGCTCAATTCTACTCTCTTCTGTTCATTCTTGAACATTGAGAATAAAAAAAATTCGTTACAGATGTGTTATGGGACGAAATTTATCATCCCGAACATATCTTCAATTTATCTGTTTCATAGTTGTTTTCTGTTGTTATCTTGATTGGTTTAATCAATCGATATAGTTAGATAAATATCGATTGATTGTTTATTATTATTATTAATCGTCTTTTTAGAGCAGTCGTCGATTATCGTTTATTATTATCGACAATCGTTATACTTTTCCGTTTTGTTCATGTTTTGATATTTATTCTATTTCAAATAAATACACAGAAAATCCTAACATTGGTGCCGTTACCCGCTTCTTGTGAACAACAATTGTCGAGGAATTTCAAGATTATATTATTAACATAAACAATTTATCACTGAGACATCCTGCATTCAGGAGTGACCCATCCACATTATTTATTAAAAAAAAAAAAAAAAAAAAACAACAAAATTTTTAGTTTATTTTATTTTTTTAAATATAATAAAGTATTGATTTAAAAGAACTTCCTGTTAAGGACGGTTCCATCCAAGAATAAAAAAACGGCGATCGGTACACGATCTCAAATAAAAGATAAGTCCACTGTACTTTCAAGAAATAGTGTCGACTATCCTCACAGAAAGACCGATTTGAACTCCAATTCAATAATTGAAACTGATTCTATAACAACTGTACGCTCTTCGGATTCTCAAGCGGAACGAACTATGACTAGTGCTATATTGTTACAAGCTCAGAGAGAGAGCCATCGTAATTTACAATCATTCACAAGTGATCTCACTCAAGATATTGATGAATACATCGAGAGAATCGAAAATATAGGTTTATTAACAAACGAACCAGGTGAAGTATTGCATATATTATTAAAAGAGAAACTTACTGGTCAAGCTGAACGATGGTATAAAGATAATCAGGATTCTTTAACTACTTGGTCAACATTGAGAACTGGTCTTCGAGAAAGATTTCAACAACCATGGTTGAATCAGACTTTGTTTAGTACTTTAGACAATCGAAAACAGGAGGTTCATGAATCAGTAAATGATTATTATAATGTTGTTTGTCGACTATGTAGTCGAATTGATCCTAAAATGTCCAAACAGATGATATTACATTTTCTTCAAAAAGTTGTTAGAGATGAAATAAAAACGAATATAACCAGATTGATGCTAACCGACAATGATCCTACACCAGAAAGGGTGTGGGTGTGGGTTTTCTCTGTATTCACGCCCACACCCTATAATATGATCAATCCACATTTAGAAGATTGTTGCCATCCGAATTGTCATGTTTAGAGGAGGATTCCATTTCTCTTCATCCAACCGCTTCTGATATAGATCTTTCTTCATTAAGTGAACAATATGATTATGCAACATGCACCTGCTCTCGTCGACCTTATAAGAATCCTAATGAAACTTGAGCCCTACAAACGGCCATCGCCTACACTTGTCAAGAAGTCTTAGACCAACAACATAAATTAAATCCTGGTGATGAAGGTGTAGATTCCTTCTCCAGTTCACATATGTCTCAACAGGTACCAACTCGGAAATATAGTGTTGAGATCAAACAACAGTCAACTGATTATAATCAATTGGTCGAATATGCCGTGCGTGACTGCCTTTCAGTCACTAAACTATCAATTGCTGTTCGACAAAGATGGTCTAGAGCTTTACTCGAAAAATACTCGTATACAAAATCTATTCGTACAAACTACAATAAAGTTAACGACGATCAATGTTGTTCTAAACAACAAACTTCATCTGATGAAGTGATTTCGTCACAACAAATAAATAATAATAATAATGATCGTACTTACACATTCGAGGATTACGAGCCTATCTCCGATGATGATATCAATAATACAATAAATGCCACTATTGTGATTCCAGTTTCTAAATCTACGAATGATGAACCTGGAACAAAAATAAGACATGTAATAAAGGTTGAACACGAGAAGAAACGCTCACACAAAACAATTCGACGACGTTGTCGAAAACGAAATGCAATAATACATGCACATAGACATGATTTTGACATCATTCATACTGTATATCGTTGTTTTACCATTCGAGAAATTGAAAATATATTGGATCACGTTCATATAAGACGTCGCCATTGTCACATCCATCATCATTATAAATTGCATATTGGTATACGTTCTTACGAAGATAAATTACGATATGAAAATGTTTTAAATCCCGAATATTTCACCAAAGAACATTACATTCGGCAATTGCATTATATATCACCATTTTCACACAACAATCCAGACAATGTTAAAGAAAGTTGAACGTCTTATGAACATTACTTTTCACAGAGATTTCGTTTGTTTTTCACCAAGGGGGAAAAAAAAATTTTTCCCAAAAAGAGTCTGCTGGGAGAAAACGAAAATATTTTTCCAAAGAAAAAATACGCTGGAGAAAAACGATAAATTTTTCCAGGGAGACTTTCTCCCAAAATTTTAGGAGGAGAAATTTCCTCCCTCCCCCCCCCCCCCCTAATCGTATGACCTGACTTTTCATTTGGCTGTTCAACACACCAATAAAAAGTGTGCGGACACACTTCTTCTGTTTTGTTTGTTGGGAGAAATGTTATGGGACGACATCTATCATCCCAAACATACCTTCAATTTATCTGTTTCATAGTTGTTTTCTGTTGTTATCTTGATTGGTTTAATTAATCAATATAGTTAGATAAATATCGATGGATTGTTTACTATTATTATTATTAATCGTCTTTTTAGAGCAGTCGTCGATTATCGTTATAACCGCCGATTATCATACTTTTCCATTATAGTTTTTCGTTTTGTTCATGTTTTGATATTTATTCTATTTCAAATAAATACACAGCAAATCCTAACAAGATGTGACAACTAAGTGTAAAAGGGAGACACATATTTGCTCACACTGTTGCATTCAAAAGAAAAAAATTGATAACGATTTTTCTCACTAGTTCACTTTTCATCATGATGGTTGCAATATTTATGAGCTTCTTCCGGAAACGAAAGTAAATATTAACATTTGTCATTTTTTTTATTGCATTTTTAGATTACTTGACATATGCTCAAGTAACAACTTTCTTATTTTATATAATATATCAAGTGTAGTTCGAACGTCATTTTTATTTTCAATGTACAATCATACCATATTCTACACAACGCAACGCCACGAGCTGATAATGTATGCTAGTGATACTTTTTCTCAAACATAAAATATGACAAAGAAATAACTATTCAGAAACTCTTATTATCGGAGTCTTAAGATGATTGACTGAACTATCGTGTTGTCGCAAGAAACATAGATGGCAGACTTTTAAATGCTTTCAATGCCTGAAATCAAGTTTCGGCAATTGTGTTTGTCACAAAACATTATTCTAAACACTTTTTTGTTAAAGTAACTTACAAGTGAAGATCTCAAAACGTTTAGAAGCTTTTGGATCAATATTTTGTCCAGTTGTAGGAAACCTATAGATCACAATAGGCTTCAAAGAAGTCCGCGATAACGTTAAGCTTCAACAAAAATAGTCACCTTTTAGTTCTTTATATAGACCCAATTTTTCGATGCAATTCTACTGCTGCGTTTCGATAAGGCAAGTTTGATCAGACAAAAATTCCACGAAGACTAGTTTATGTGCCGAATTTCAAAAGTTTTATCAATCAAGTATCTATAAGTTATGCATTTCGCAGATTTCGTGCGATGTTTTCATTGATACCATATAAAATATGTATATTTTGGAAGATACATATCTTAGAGATACTCGATCGAAAAATTTGGATATTTTTGCATAAGCTAATCTCACTAAAACCTTCATTTGAACAAAATTTTAAAGCGAGAATTCGACAATAGAATTCTATCGAAAAATTGAGTTCATATATGGAAATCTATTAAAAAGTCGCTATCCTCAACCAGGAAGAAGAGTGAGAAAAAGAATCGTCGAAAATTTAACTGTCTAGTATATATAAAAGCAAAACTACACTGTTTGAGCTCCTCAGGATTTTTCGAATTTAGATGGTAAAGAAGAAATAGAAAACGAACTTGGCTCTTTATTTTCTATTTACATACCTTTTTCATACATTGATGTTGTGCTACTGTATTTATTCGTTTACATTTTTTAATAGACAGCTGAATAATATTTATGTTTCACGTTTCGTTTGTTTTATAGAACTCGAAGCAAAAACCATCTTGTAATGAATCACATTTTTTTTTCGAGGTATTATTTTCTAGAAAAAGTATTCTATCAATGGAACGGTCTTTCAACGAATATTAGTGTAATAGTTTATAATAGAAGAAGTATTAATCTGAATAAGATTATGCTTTATTCATTTTCTTCATGTCATTAGAACGGTACCCTCTCCATACATTAACATACGTTATTATACGCAACTAAGGCCCCGAACAGACCAACTAATTCAAAGTGAATTAAAACGGAATTAACGAATAAATCGTCTCAAAAAGACGATTTAAATCGAAATAGACCAATCACGTTGCTTAATTTGTTTTATTTTTTTTTGGTCTGTTCGGGGCCTAAGAGAGAGAGCAGAAAACGAAGAAAGAACGAAAGAAAAAGAGAAGGATTTGAAGAGAGAGAGAGAGAGAGAGACGGTCAATGATCAATAGTTACGGCGCAAGGAAGGATAGAATGTGACAAGAAAAACTGACTAAGGAAGGACAACGTATGCAATAAAAAGTGATGATAAAGGACAGATAATGCATAGAACAATAATAAATGACAATGAAAAGACAGTATATGTAGTAAGAAGAGATAATAAAGAAAAGATAATGCACAGAATAATGAGAAATTACAAGGAAAGGACACTGTATGTAATAAAAAAAGATGAAACATCATGCATAAATAATCAATTTATCGAAACAGGGAGAGTAGATAATAGTAAGCAAAACATTCAAGCAAGAATGTCACGATTCAGTAAGACAATATTATCCAACACAAAATTGTCAATAGAAATCATTCAACACATAGTATGCTCGTTTTTTTTTGGTCTGATTTTTAATCGTTATGTCCTCGATAGTATCAAGATAGCTTTTAAGAAATTTGCGAAAAATTTAACTTCCCACTGTCTACAGACAAATAGGCCCGAGTATGTTCTGCAGCTATATCAAACGAGAAATAGAAGTACTACTAAACTGTACCATTTGCATCTATCTATGTATTGGCTTATATCTTTGCTCACGGGAAGAGACGGATGAGAACGGAAACGGAAATAGAAGAATAAGAAAAATTATTTTCACATGATACTAATATTCAGCTTTCTCTCTTTAAAATATTTACTTCTTGTGTACTGATTCTGATAGATTTGTCTTAAAGATATGAGCAGCGACTTCAATCAAACATGAACAAAATTACATGATTATATTTGAAGAAGACACGTACTCATTGAAGTTTTAGTCTCGCAAATGCTGTTTACCTCACCTGTATTCCTGTTCTTATTTTTACCCATCGTCCTATGTATGAATTTTGTGATTAAATCGAAATATCAGAATGGTTGGCTGTACTTGGCTAGCTTATTTTTTTATTTCTGGGATGAAAAATCATATACCATCATCATGCTCATATCAATATCTATGAATTATTTGAGTGCATTAGGTATGGTCTATTTACGAACTAAGATGGATGCATCAAAAATTCGTAGGCTTCTCGTTGTGTCGATTTCTGGCAATTTAATCTTACTCATAATTTTTAAATATACCAACTTTCTTTTCGAAACTGTGAATATGATTACCTTGCAACCAGTAAAAAACGTTACAAATGCTACTGCAATCCATTTACCACTTGGTATCTCTTTTATTACTTTTCACGGACTTTCTTATATCATTGATGTCTACCGAGCAGAAGTTCAAGTGGAATGGAATCCAATAACACTAGGATTGTATTTTTCATTCTTTCCTCACCTAATAGCTGGTCCTATTGTACGATATCGTGACGTTGCACAACAACTCAATGAAAACCGAGAATTCAATCGTGAAGAATTTGCACAGGGTGTAGTAAGATTCACATTTGGTCTCTCAAAAAAGATGCTTATAGCAAATACAGTCGGTGCTGTGGCAAATACAATCTTTACTTTGCCGCTTGAAAAGATCGACGTATCTCATGCATGGATTGGCTTGCTAACCTATACTCTACAAATTTATTTCGATTTTTCCGGCTATTCAGACATGGCTATTGGTCTTGCACATATGTTTGGTATTCGATTTCTTGAAAATTTCAACTATCCCTATATATCTCGATCAATCAGAGAATTCTGGAGACGTTGGCATATTTCATTGTCCAATTGGTTTCGTGATTACCTCTATATTCCACTTGGTGGCAATCGTGCCTCAGAACGTCGCGTCTGCTTAAACCTTTTGATCGTCTTTCTTCTCTGTGGTCTTTGGCATGGTGCTAGTTGGAATTTTATTATTTGGGGTCTATTTCATGGAATATTCTTAGTGTTAGAACGAACTATCATATACATGCGTGTGCTACAAAAACTACCAAGAGTTTTCCAACATTTATATACATTGATAATAATATCATTTGGATGGGTGTTTTTTCGATCACCTACTCTGAAACATTCTATTGGATTTATTAGGACTTTACTTGGATTACACTCACGCCACAGTCATATGAATATTCCGGTAAAGCAATATCTTGACAAAAAAATTATAGTAGTAATAATTTTCGCTATATTTGAATCATATGGTACTATTTCTGGATTGATTCGTGTCCTAAAAGACGGCCCCGAACGTCTGTCAAACAAACGGACCCGAATATTTGCACATATGGTGCTATCTTGTTTGTGGATAGTCATATTTGTCAGTCTCTTTCTACTCTCTATCATGGCTATATCAAGCGGACTCTATAATCCTTTTATTTACTTTAGGTTTTAAGAGAAAAACAGAAATTTGGCATGATAGTATTATGAGTTCAAATGTTCAACGACAACGAATATTATTAGATTCGGTGATCATTATTCTTTTTCTATCGTTTATTTTTCTTTCTGAAATAAATAGACAATATCAAATTATTTCTAATATTTCATCGATAGACAAGCAAACATTAGCTTTTTCTTCAGCTTTTGATATTCAAAAGATTGATAGTTTTATTAAGAAATTTGACTTGTTCTATAATGATCACTTTGGATTTCGCATTCGACTCGTAGCTGCAAGCGTTCGTCTACATGCCAGTTTGTTTGAAATATCAGGTATTCGATTTGCTGTCATGGATAAGGATGATTGGCTGTTTATGAATCGCTATGAACCAACAGATCCGAGGACGATATCTGGTTGCCAAGGA